GACTGAAGAAGTCTCTTGGAAGAGAGGCGAAACGTTTCATTAAAGAAGAACCCGTCCAGAAGACCTATACTATTTTTTTTTTCCTTTAACGGTAGAACAAAAATGGCTGCACGTAGCAGCATGAAATTAGATGTGGCTGGTCTACACTGCACTCACAAATGATTTTGTGATAGACCCCATTTTTGAGGTGGGGGCACCATCCTGGACAGATTAGTACATACATGACATCATGCATGTGAATGTGCTTTAAAACCCATTTATCAGTATTAGAAACTGTATCACAGTTTGTTTAGTATTCATCCTGTCACAACTGTTAATTTGTGTCTCCGTTCACAGCTTCAGAAAAATACAAAGAACATCCAACTGTGTGTCTCAGTCAGGACCAGTGATCTCTGACATTTGGTAACATTCAGCAGTGAAGACAAAATTCAATAAAAACTGTGAAAAACATTCCCATAGACATCAACTGTACTTAGAGCGAGTGGTAAAATTCATCCCTACAGTATGTGGAGCTCTGCAGAAATATCATTGAAAGTTTGAACAGGTCAAAGTTAGACTGAGATGCTGTCTGCAGATGTTTCTCACTTTTTACACAATCATGTTTAAGTTGGAGCACTTTTACCACAAAATGTTTTCCTTAATCTGATGGTTTCACACTTTGTCTAAACTTTAGAACATGTTGGCACTTTTCTCACTCCCACAACTCTTTCCACTCTGTATCCAGTAATCAATCAGAAGTATTTTTGTCTTTCACAGCATTCAGTGCATTGTCTTTCCAATACCTCCAGAGGTTAGAGTGCACACAAAGTCTCACTAACTTCTTTTGTTTCTACTCAACTTTTCAATCTGAATAAAACACAGTAGAAACATTGAAATGAACAAGTGTCAGAGGTCTACCCTTCACAGTTTGAGTCATTTCTGCTGCAGCAATCAATACGTTGAACTACTGAATCATTTTTAACGCACCGTTCTGTCGCTGCAGTGAAAACATGGCCGTTCTCCATCAACCGTTCAGGTGCTGCTGCTCTGTAAACAAACTTTTACAAATAAAAACCTAGAACTGTTGCAGTAGGAGGAAATTAGTTCAGTGAGTGAATCAAAGTGTGAAAAAAGGAAGTCATTCAGGCACGCTGTGGACAGTATCTGCTTCCTTTAATGGAGTACAGCTTCCCTTCTGTGGACTGCTGCGTTCAGCAGGGCGGCAACTAAGCACTGCTTTTCACTTTTCACTTACTCTGACAGCAGCTTCAACAATTTTTATTATCAGATATAAATCTGGCATCTTATCAGCAAACAAAGATCTCCAAATATTCAGTTTTCATGTAAAATCACAGACAGAAACAGGTCTAAAACTATCTGAGACCAAACATTAGGAAGGACTTCCATGATTTCAGGATCAGGGGTCTCATTTATAAAGGATTGCGTGGAAACCATACTAAAAGTGAACGTACGGCCAAAAGGTGGAAATGGCGTACGCCAAAAAAAAAATTCAGATTTATAAAACCGTACGTACGCATGTTTCTGTACATCTTTCCTTTATAAATCAGTGCTTCACGTCAGAGTTTGGACTAAGGTCCTCCTCAGGTTCTACCCTCTACACGCCCACACTCAACCATAAACAGTCAATGTAAAGTACCTCATGAATGTTAAGATGTATTTAAATCAGTCAGATGATCAGTGATTGGTTCAGACACGCTCCATGTTTCTGGAGGATGACAGGTGCTGACTGACAGCTGCTCACCTGAACATATTGTCTGTAACTGACAGATTTTCCCTCATTTTGCTTTAGAGTAATCTAACGATTTTTATTTAAAAACTCAGCTTCAAATTAATTTTCTCTCAGAGCTGCAGGACGATAAAAACAATAAATAAAATGAAATCAGTCGAATACGGTTAGAAATAATTTCACTGCTCCTCTCCCTCCTGCCTGCTCTGTTATCTGCAGCTGATCGTCTCCTCAGCCCCTCACCTGCCCACAGCCCCCCGCAGTGACAAATACAGACTTTAAAGGGATCTATGATTAGTTGTAACATTAGACTTTCTTTAATAACTATATATTTTAACTGTAAAATAAAGACTGTAAAAATACTGTAGGCTGTTCAGATTTTAAACTAAAAGTTAAAAAATATATTACACGGACGGAGCAATATTTTTTACACACAAAGCACTCTGGGTAAATGATGACGTGGATAGGTCCTCGGTGCGAGGCTGCTAGCGAGCTACAGCGAGTGAAATAAGTATTGAACACGTCACCATTTTTCTCAGTAAATATATTACTAGAGGTGCTAATGACATGAAATTTTCACCAGATGTTGGTAACAGTATATATATCACAGTACCTGTATATATC